GTCCCAACCCTGTCGGAGCTGCTATCGTCGTCCCAACCCTGTCGGAGCTGCTATCGTCATCCCAACCCAGGTCGCCGCCGTCAGCTGGTCCATCTCAGGTGTGCGTCGAAGATCTGAGCCTGATCTACCTCTGCCAAACTTCGATTGAGCTGATCTGTGCCAGGTTGACCGATTCCCATAGTGTTGTATTGCTTTTCGGTGAATGTAGGAGGGATACGGTATTAATCAAAGCATGTGGAGGTGTGTGTTTGTTGATCTGTTGTGAGCTAATAGATTGACTGAAATCGAACCACCGTGCTGTGTTATTTTTTTCTTCTTGGCCTGGTTTTGTGGTGTGTTTCGGTGATGAAGAATTTTTGTGATGAATGCTTGACATTTGTTGATTTTTAGATCTGAGTTTTGGGCCAAACCTGGCACAGATGTAATTGCTACCTGCAAATGAGTGTTGTAGGTGACAGGAGGAATGAGTCAAAAGAAATCTGAGTGCCAAAATACATTCCATATCAATTAATGTTGTCAAATGGTCCGCTTCTTATTAGTTTATGATAAGTTTTCTTCTAATTTACACATCAATAAAACATTTTTAACCAATTCAAGTAATTTGACCTAAGTATTCTCTTTTATTTTTGCCTTCAATTATTACCTATCATCTTCTTATTAATTAGATTATTAAGGGTGAAGGATATTTTAGGGAAAAATTATTGATTACTCTTATACGTTTATAAGGAGAATATAAGGATTATATGCAATGATTATATGCACAGATCTAATGTCTTGGGATTTCTTATTAATTTTAGATGAGAAGAATATGCAAGAACATATTTTTTTTATCTGGGTAGAACTTATTTCTTACATAATGTAGCTTGAATTTGAACATTTTTTGTGCTTTGTTTGGTTCTGTTAGTCTGATCTATATTATTTTCCACCTAGAAATGGATAATGATAAAGAAAAAGCGAGTTGGGATTCGTATACGACGAAAATTCTAATCGATGTTTGTGTTGAGCAAATTGTGCACAAAGAACGCCAAGGAACATCATTTACAAGGCCGGGTTGGAACAAAATTACAAAGAATTTTCAGGAAAGAAGTGGGAAAATGTATGATAGGAAGCAACTTAAGAATAGATTTGACATTTTGAGAAAGGATTGGAAGTTGTGGGACAAACTTATGTCTGGGGAGACTGGCATTGGTTATGATGCAGCAACAAATAGGGTGTTGGCCTCCGATGAGTGGTGGCAACGGAAATTAAGGGTAACTATTTGTGTTGGTTGAGTTTTAGTTTTAAATATTAGTTTCTTCATCGCTGACACTTGCCTAATTACGTTAATGTAGGTGGATCCCAATTTCAGGAAATTTAGACATCAGGGGTTGATGTTTGCATCAGACCTAATGAGGATATTCAAAGATGTTGTGGCTTCGAGAGATTTTATGTATGCACCATCAGCCTCACAACCTCAGCCAGCATTCACTCCACAGCCTGACACAGAAGAGGAGGATGTTTATAGAGTCGGGCTCGACCAACAGGAAGGGTCGGGGGATAGTGAGGATGAAAATTTTGGTGTTGACCCAACAGCCACCGCAGGGATCTCAGATGATTTTGCCGGTTGCAACTTAAACAACCCTTCGAGTACTGGACCAAGTGACTCAGGAAGCTATGGAAAGAGGAAGAGGGGTGAGACGTCTGATGCGAAGAAGAAGAAAAAAGTTGCTGCGACTACAAAAATTTCTGATAGCCTGAGTGTTATAGCAGCTGCTTCTGAAAAGCGAGCATCAGCATTGGTTGAAGATCCCCAACAAGTTGAGAAGATTTGGGGACACCTGGCTAGCCTTGAGGAGCTTAATGGTAACCCTCAACTATATTATGCATGTGCGAAGATGCTTACGCGGTTGAGATCGGCTAGGCGAGCCTATTTGGGGTTTATGCCTGATAGAAGCAAGTTGTTGGAGTGGTTGATACCGGCAGCACTAGACCCAGACACATGGAAGGGACCTGTAGATTAGGATTTAGTTTAGGACTTTGTTGTTTCACTATTGTTACTGCACTTATTAACGTGAACTAATTGCTGTTTGAACCTAAACTTATGTGACCTGTTGTAGAAGGGACCTGTAGAAATCTTAGTAATGACTATGTAATATTTATGCTAATTTCTACTTATCATATATGTGTTTGGTTTTGCTATTTGCAGTATGATAATTATTTACACCTTGTTTAGGGTAATCCTTATAATGCTTACACTTTGTTGTCATCATAGTTACAGGGTTAACTCCAGAAATGGCTTCTTGGAATGAAGATACTTTGAAGGATTAGAATGATGATTCACCATTGAATGAAGATACTTTGAAGGATTGGAATGATGATTCACAGTGCAATGAAGATGACCGTTCAAGACAGATTAATGAGGAATTAACACAATATGAAGCAGTAGGTGCATTGGTTGGTCATTACTGTGAAATGTATATGTTTAAACAACCCTGCAGAACTAGTGAGCAGACAGGAAATTTATGGGTGCAAGGTATTATGAATGGCCATGATGATCGATGTCCTGAAATGTTTAGAGTGGATAAATATGTTTCCACCTCTTATGTACCAAATTGGAGGAACACGGTTTACGAAAGTCTAAATACGTAGGAATTGAAGAAATGGTCGCGATGTTTTTAAACACGGTTGCACATGGACAATGCAACAGGATGATTCAGGAACGGTTTCAACGTTCAGGGGAAACTGTAAGTAGGCACTTTCATAATGTACTGCAAGCTTGCCTTAGCCTATCGAGTGAACTTATTCGACCCATAGATCCTACATTTCGTGGAACTCATAGAAAAATTGAGACCGATCCACGTTATTATCCATTTTTCAAGGACGCAATCGGAGCAATTGATGGCACTCATATTCAGTGTGTTGTCCCTGCTGCAGAAAGAGACAAATTTATTGGCAGAAAGGGAAATCTATCACAAAATGTCATGGCTGTATGTGATTGGGATATGTGTTTCACTTTTGTCTTGGCGGGATGGGAGGGATCTGCACATGATGCTCGTATATTTGACAGTGCTATTACAAATTCATCTCTTAATTTCCCTCATCCACCTCCAGGTATATATTTATAAGTTTCAATCACGCATGTTTTTTTAATTATTTCATTTTTTTTCTTTTCACAATCTCTCTAATTGTTTCATGAATCATTAGGAAAATATTACTTGGTTGATGCGGGATATCCAACACCAAATGGATATCTAGGTCCATACAGATCTGAGCGCTACCACCTTCCGGACTTCCGATGACAAGTAGGATTTCGAAATAGCAATGAAGCCTTCAATTACTATCATTCCAGTTTAAGGTGCACAATAGAAAGAACTTTCAGTGTTTGGAAGAATAGATTTCACATCTTACGAAACATGCGTAGTTACGACTTCCAAACACAAGTATACTTAGTTTGTGCAACAATGGCCATTCATAACCTTATAAGGAGGCATTCAAGCTCCGACTCCCTTTTTGAACAAGCTGAAAATGATAATATAGTGGCCGAACATGATCAGGCTGAAGCTAGTCAACCATCGCCTTCAAACGTTACATCACAATCTTCATCGCATATGAATCGTGTTCGTGATGCAATCAGAGACCAAATCGTTCATAGTTTATCAAATAATTAATTATGTAATATTATTTTATTTTACTTTGTCAATTGGAGTTCAAAACTTTGTTATCCATTTAAATTATGTTTAGTTGACTTCTTCGTATTAAATTAATTTAAATTTATTGTATTATGTTTTTTTTTATCATGTTGCACTTCGTTTCTTAAATATTTTTTATGATTTCTCTACAGTTCGTAATTCTAATTCACTAAATAAATTTTACTTCATCATTATATTATCTCTATTCAATTTTTTCCTTCTTTCACTTTATATTTAAAATAATTTTTTAGATTTCTCTAAATTTTAAAAATTTAATTCACTTATTCGTATTAAATTATTTTAATTCCATTGTATTATGTGAAATTATTTTTTCCTATTTTTTACTATTTATTAAAACTCATACCCATTTTAGTCATTTTACAACCAAACTTACTTTTACTCAACCATAATCCAAACAGCTTTTTATCCATTTCACTTTTGCAAACGGGCTTTTCTGAACTCTAATCCAAATACAATTCAGCTTATTCAATTTAGCTTATATCCCATTTCACTTATCCATAAACTGCTTTTCCAATAAGCAGCTTTTCAATCGCTCATCCAAACGGGCACTTTATCATCAAACAAGTTGGCTCATTTCGTAGGATCAGATGCTAATTCTTCGACTACAAGGTATGGAGATAGAGACATAAATTACAGCAATAACAAGCGTCACTGCGACTGACTTGAGGGGGAAAAGAGAGACCCATCGATCAGAAGTAGTACAAACTGAGTGTGTCTCCTTCATAGAATAGAGGATCAACATCTAAAAAGAAGACCCCTTTCTCGATAGCCCTCTTATTGTGACATTCACTTTCAGGCAGTATTTGCTCACCATGTGTTTGACCAAAAGACCGAGTGAAAGAGGACAGCTGTTCCGCTGCAACTCTAGTACGGACCTTCTGAGCTTAGTTTTCTTAATGTTAAGTTGTGCTTCAGATTTATGAGCTGTAGATGGTAGAGAAAGATAAAAAATTGCAAGGAAAAAAATGCTGAGTATACCGTGAGGAGTGAGGATAATCGCGTGGAAGAGGGTGAGAAGATGATGAGGGCAAAAATGAAGAAAACGCTCAGGGTGGGTCACTCAAGTCCAAATGACGTCGTTTTGATGGATGAGCTACAGGTGCTCATATATGCGCCGAGCGTGTAATGGGCTCGGATCCGTATGGCCGTAAGACGCTCCTGATAAAATATCTCTGACGCATTTAGACACTTTGCTTTGGAGACATTTCTAAACTTTCCGGGAGGATCAAACGCGTGCTCTGTTTTAAGCCGATCCGCCACATTCCTGTAAACTTCTCCGGCCGGTGATCAAATGTAGCGACTATTGCAGCCATGGCAACTCAAATCGCAGCACCGTCATCGTTTGGCTTCCCTCATGAAACCAAATATAGATATGATGTTTTTCTGAGTTTCAGAGGCAAAGATACTCGCCACTCCTTCACTGTCTTCCTCTATGAAGCTTTGCGTCGGAAGGGAATCAACGCCTTTATCGACGACAAGAAGCTTGGGAAAGGAGAAGAAATCTCACCTACGCTTCTTAAAGCCATTGAGAGATCAAGGATTTCCATTATTGTGTTCTCTAGGGACTATGCTACTTCCACATGGTGCCTTGAGGAACTCGCCCACATCATTTGGTGTAACAAGCAGAAGAATCAGGTGGTTATGCCCATCTTTTACAAGGTTGATCCATTGGATGTTCGGTATCAAAGAAATAGCTTTGAAGAAGCCATGGCTACCCTTAAAGATAGGTTCAGAGATGACTTAGAGAAAGTGTGCAAATGGAAGTCTGCTTTGTTTGAAGCTGCTAGTTTGTCATCAGCATGGCTCTTCCAAGATGGGTATGCTTCCTTATAATTTTTGAAGCATTAGTTGAGATTTTACTTGAAAGAATTATCATAATAACAAACAATAGCAGAAGAAGACATTTTGCATCAATTTTCTTAATATCAAAAAGAGAATTTGCCTTTTTGCAGATACGAATTTGGGTTTATTGAAAGGATTGTTGAAGATGTGTATGCTATGCTTCCTCCTAAACCATATCATAACATAGAACACATGGTTGGACTTCAGCCTCGGGTAGAAATAGTGATCTCGCTTCTAAATAAATCTGACAAAGGCGTTTGCATGTTGGGCATTCATGGAATTGGCGGAATTGGCAAAACAACCCTTGCAAAGGCTATCTATAATTCAATCTTCTACCAATTTGAAGGTGCGTGTTTCTTGTTTGATGTCAATGAGGCATCAAAAAAATTTCAGGGCATTGTTCATCTTCAACAAAAACTTCTATCTGAGACTCTTGAGGAAAAGATCATGAGGTTTGGTAGTTCTGACGAAGGAATGTCTAAAATAAAACACAGACTCTCTCATAAAAGAGTTTTGTTGGTTCTTGATGATGTTGATGAGATTGAACAATTAGAACGACTTGCAGGAGGGTGTGATTGGTTTGGTTGTGGAAGCAAAGTCATTATAACAACAAGAAATAAGCAATTGCTAATTGCTCATAATGTTCAAAGAACATATGAATTGGTGGAGCTAAATCATCATGACTCTCTTGAACTCTTTTGTTGGCATGCCTTTCATATGACCCTACCTCCAAAAGGCTATGAACAAATGTCTAGTCATGTGATGAGTTATGCAAAAGGCATTCCCCTCGCTTTAAAATTAATTGGTGCCAATTTAGCAGATAAAAACTTAGAGGAATGGAGGTCTACACTGGAACAATATGGTCAAATCCCAGAAAGAACAATACATGAAGTACTAAAGATAAGTTATGACTGCTTACAAGATGGTGCTAAAATTATCTTCTTGGATATTGCTTGTTTCTTTAAAGAGTACATAGTGGGTTCTATTGATGAAATAGCAGAGGCTTGTGATTATGGTGCGAGGTTTTATATTGAAGTGCTTATTGATAAATCTCTTATAATGAATGACAATGGTCATTTATACATGCACGATCTGATAAAACAAATGGGCAGAGAGATTGTTAGGGAGGAGGCACCATTAAATCCTGGCAAACGCAGTATATTATGGAATTATAAAGATGTTCTTAAAGTACTACATGAAAATTCAGTAAGAATCTGACTATTTTTTGTTTCATATACATTAGATTTATACTGCTATTGGGTGATATCTAACTATTGTTATTTCTTTGGGTTTGCATTATAGGGAAGTAGTAATATTGAAGGAATAATGTTTGATCCTCCTCAACAAAAAGAAGTGGATTGGAGTGGTATGGGCTTTGAGAAGCTGCATAATCTTAGGATTCTTATTGTTCGAAAGGCCCAATTTTCAAATGGCCCTAAATATCTTCCCAATAGCTTGAGATGGCTTGAGTGGGAGGGATATCCTTCTACAGAATTTCCACCAAATTTTTCTCCAAACAACCTAGTTGTCTTCAAGTTATGTTGCAGTCCTTTCAGGTTGAAAGAGCCATTTGAGGTACTTTTAAAAAAAAAAAAAAAATTTGTGCATGGCTTTTTTGGTTCAAATTTCTATGGCTTTTATTTTCGTCAAAGAATCAGGAATAATATTTTTTTTCAATTACCCTTCTATTTTTCTAAATTTATATAAACTTCTTTCATCAAATCTGCTCAGATCTCCGTTACTTTTTCCCCATTAAATCATAAGGTTTCTTCATAATTTCTCGTGTAATTATTGTTAAGTAAACAATCATTTTTTTTCTTTTGGTTTTTGCAGAGATTTGCATATTTGACATCTATGAATTTCTCACATTGTGAATGCATAACTGAAGTACCCGACATGTCTCAATTCCAAAGATTAAAAAGATTGTTCTTTAAAGACTGTTACAATTTGATCAAAGTTCATGATTCAGTGGGATCTCTCTCCAAGCTGGTTGAACTAAGTGTTGATGGATGCGTCAAACTTGCAAACTTTCCACGTGAAATCAATATGCCATCTCTTCAAGATATTCAGCTGAGTCATTGCAAGAGTCTGGACTACTTCCCACATATAGTGGGAAAGATGGATGCGTTAACGGATATTTGGGCTGAAGACACTTCTATTAAGGAGCTCCCACCTTCTATTGGAAATCTTGCCGGGCTTGAATGTTTAAATTTAAGCTCTTGCAAAAGTCTTAGGGAGCTTCCAAACAGCTTATTCACATTGCAAAATCTTAACTGGCTTGACTTGGAAAACTGTCAACCTGATTGCAGAAAATCTTTAAAGAAATTAATGCAGGAGAGGCAAACAGTTGTTAGCTGCACCAACGTAGAGTTCTTGATTCTCAAAAATTGTTGTTTATTGGATGAAGATATTCACCTAATTCTGAATCTTTTCCCAAATTTGATTGAGTTAAATCTATCAGGGAATGATTTCGTGTCCCTTCCCGAGTGCCTTAAAGAGTGTGATAAGTTGATGAGATTGGATGTCAATAACTGCAAGAGGCTAACAGATATACCAGACTTGCCATCAAATTTGACGAGAATAGAGGCAGAGAACTGCATTTCATTAACTACAGACTCATTGGGCCATTTATGGTCTCAGGTTTTTTTTTCGTAATCTTTTTTTTCCCCTCTTGTTTTTTTTTTCCTTTTGCTATGTTGATGATTATTCAAATTAAATACAATTGTGATTCGTTAGAAATTAAAAATATATATATATCATTCATCGTTTTTCCCTCTTTAAATCACACATTTTTCTTTTGCTTGTAGATCCATGAGTTAAATTTATCTGCTTACACGTCTCTAATTAAGGCATATTCATATTGGGCAAACAGTTTGCCTGTGAAGTTAGCTCAGTCCGTAAAATTTCTCTTTATTCTCTTCATATATTTTTTTCAAATCCGAAAAATGTCTTTTGATTCTGTTGCTTCGGTAGACCAGGCTAAAAAGAAGTGGATGACAGTCATTTTGCCATCAACAACATTTCCTGATTGGTTCCATAATAGGTGTGAAGGAGGGAAACTGTCTTTTCTTGCTCGTAGGAATTTCCCTCATTTGGCCTTTGCGTTTGAGCTGGGGAAAGCCAACACGAGTAGGAGACAATACTTCCATTTTTCTCTGAGCATCAACGGTCGTGTAATACGAAAGAGATATGATGTTATCACAATTGCACGAGGTCATGTGTCTTTATTTAGTCTAGGATTGGCTTTTGAGGGAGAAGACTGGAGGTGGCTTCAAAGATACTTGGAATTGGATTGAATGATGTGGGGATACAAGTCACTTGTGAAACGCCAAATATACCTGTGGTTAAGTGTGGAGTTTATGTGTACCAACCGCAGAAAAACATAGAGAATATCCAATTCAAGTCTCCTTTGGTTGCCATAAATACTCCAACAACAACTTCACTGAAACGAAGAGCCATAGCTTCTCCTCCTAATGAACCACCCAAGAAGGTCCTGAGAAAGCTCAAGACTGCTAATAAAGGAAAGATCAACAACGTGAAGAAAGGTTCAAGGTGTGCCTCTTCTTGATGCTGATTGTGGTTTCAAGATTTTTGCTTATTATTAATTTTACCATGTTCATGTATTGTAGGAGAAACAAACGACGCCAATTGCTTCATTCCCGCTGCAAGAGAAGGATGGTTTTTCCAATGGGTAAGCATGTTTGGAGATTTTTGAACTAATAGCCGTTGAATATTTACAGGTGATAGCGGATGACACCTCTGAGCTGTTACGGATTGCCTGGGCAACTGGGATGATCCCAGCTTCAAACTTAATATTTTAATTTGCTAGAGATTGGAAACTACATACATACAATAATCATGCTATGAGAATTTTTTCCCCTTTTGTTACAATTGGTTTGAAGGAGGGAAATTCATGTGGCCTTTGCATTTGAGTTGGAGAAAGTCACCGTGAGTGGGAGATATCAGTACTATGGGGTCAGGAAGGTGCTGTGATAACAAAAGGTCATGTATGTTTAATTAATATAATAAAGTATTCTGAGGGAAATGGAGAAGAGCTGTGGAGTTTGTGTACAAACGGCAAACAAACATGGAGGTTGTCCTGTTCAAATCTTCTGATCTGCTTTCCATGAGTACTTCAAGACCTTCACTGAAACGTAAAGTGATTGCTTCTTCTCCTAATCAACCATCCAAGAAGTTGCTGAGAAGATCGAAGGCAAATGATAGACGAAAACTCGATCACAGAAAGAAAGGTTAGAAGGATCAAATAATGTATAATAAGAGCGACTTGCATTATGCAGAAGTACATGCGTCTGTAGTTTTAAATCGTGTAAATGTGTACATCCAAACTAATTGAACGAAGTCAAAGCTATAGAAATTGAATTGAATCAGGTGAAAGTTTAGTGACAGGGTTACAACAAAGTTAAAACTATAAATACTAAAACATTAATTTTCTTTTCAAATAACTTATTTTTTTAGATCTCATACAAATAACATAGACAGCCAAATAACAATAACAAGGATGTAATTAATTTTCTGTTCAAATAACTTATTGCTTCGGTCATAAATATATTATCTTTATACTAGTGTGTATAAAAGTTTTATATTTAGAACCGGAGGAATATATTTTTACGGCCTACTGATTTTTAAGGCTTAAGCAAAGATGTCTTGATAAAAAAAAAAAAGTGTATGGCTTCACATACACAGGATGCTTCCTCCACTTCAAAATAAAATTAAAGAAAGAAATCACTCATGCTCTCTCCTTTTTAAGAGTAAACATTGGAAGGTTCCCGCTTTTGAGTGTAGAATTCCGCGCAAAAGTTAAGGATGTCACCAAATTTGAAAGTAAGTCGATGACTCGATGCTATGGATTGACACTCGTGCACACATATTTTCTTTTTGTATTTTTTACGAACATGCATCACACATGGTTAAGCCTTTTCTTTTATTTAAAAGGATATAATCCTTCTATCAGAGAAAGATATAATCCTTTTATTAAATTATCTAATTACATATGACTATATGTTTTATTTCTTTTATATGAGTTCAAGATTAATGATTATGTGAAAAAAAAAAATAGAGTACATAACAGTGTGTTCGGAGAACTTAACCTAAGTTTTATAATTTTTTTTAACAAGGTTTATATTTTATTATATTTATTTTTTCTATAATATATGCTATACAGAATACTGAAATTTTCAATTTTGATTTTTTGATTTTTAAAAATATTTCTAATAATAATAATATTTTAGTTAATAATAATAAATAACTTTCTAATGGAAAAATACTTTTTAAATGATCCAAAATAAAAACATATATAAAGATAGACGTCAAACTATCAAAGTGTTTTATTTATTGCATATGTCTCATTCCATTATTATGTATAAAGACAATATCTATAGATAAACTTATAATAAATCAAATTATTTATAAATTTTAATATAAATTCATTGTTAAATTTATATATATAGTTTTCTAAGATATCATATTGGAAAAATTCCAATAAAATGATACTTAAATTTACAAAATCCTAGATAGTTATTTGAACTTGTAAAATTCCAATTTAGTCATAACGACTAAATTGGGATTTTCAAATGTTGGAAAATTTACATTATTACTCTTTAATGGTTTTTTTTGGTAAGAGGCTCAAACCACCTTCACCAGCTAGCCAGCCACTGGACCTCGAGCACTGGTAGCTATCAACAGAGTTTAGGTGGATTCTAGTCATTGGAGCCCCGGTAGAAAGCTAATGACTGGTTGCCAGAGCAACTATTTCTTTTTTTTTGGGGAATTTTTACAACTTCAGTAATATGATTAACAAATTTTTTAATGTTATTAACAAGTTTGCTATACCAGTTAATAATAAGTTTTTTAGAAAATTCAAAAAGTAGTATTTTTATAACTTTAGTAATACAATTAAGAAGTTCTTTAACACCATTAACAAGTTCGATATAGTAATTAACAACAAATTTTTTTAAAAATTCAAAAACTGGTATCTTTACAACTTCAGTAACGTAATTAACAAGTTCTTTAACATTATTAACAGTTCGGTATAGTAATTAACAACAGGTTTTTTAGAAAATTCAATATGTGACATCTATAAACTTCAGCAAGCAATTAACAAGCTTTGTAATGCAATTAACAAGTACGGTATAGTAGTTAACAATAAGTTTTTCAATAAATTTAAAAAGTGGCATCTTTACAACTTTAATAACACGGTTAGCAAATTCTGTAACACTATTAACAAGTTCGATATAACAATTAATAATAGGTTTTTCAAAAAATTCAAAAAGTGACATTTTTTACAACTTCAATAAGGTAATTAACAAGTTCTGTAATACTTGTTAACAAGTTTGGTATAGCAGTTAATAAAGTTTTTTGGAAAATTTAAAAGTAGTATTTTTACAATTTCAGTAATACGGTTAACAAGTTATGTAATGACGTTAGTAACTCTCATAATACCATTGACAAAATTTTTCTATAAAGGTGAATGTTTTTAATATTAGCTCCCTCTACATCAAAATTTTCTATTTATTAGGTAGTCACTATGATTGTGAGAGCTATTAATATCATTACATGACTCGTTATTAGAGGTGTTAATTGCTATACCGAACTTATTAATAACATTACAAAAGTTATTAACTGCGTTACTGAAATTGTAAAGATGCCCCTATTTAAATTTTCTGAAAAATATATTGTTAACTGCTATATCGAATTTATTAATAGCATTAAAAAACTTGTTAACCGCATTACTAAAGTTATAAAAATGTCACTTTTTGAATTTTTTGAAAAACTTATTGTAAACTGTTATACCGAACTTGTTAATAGCATTAAAGAACTTGTTGATCTCGTTACTAAAACTGTAAAAATCCCCCCAAAAAAAAAAGTTGCCAGCTGTCGGAGCTCTAACGACTAATCATTGGCTGGCTACTAGAGTTTCGGTAACTAGTGGCAACTTGACAGCCCCTGGCGGTCGTCGATGCTAGAGGTCCCGTAGCCAGTCGGGTGGTCAGGGTGGCTTGAGCCTCTTACCGAAAAAAAGAAAGTTAAACAGTAATAATATAAATTTCCTAACATTTCAAAATCACAATTTAGTCATTATAACTAAATTGGAATTTTGCAAGTTCAAATAACCATTTGGGGTTTTACAAATTTAAGTATCATTTTATTGAAATATTTTCTATTATATTAATATTTTAAAAAAGTAAAGATGTTATAGAAATATGTGCAATTTTCAAAAACCGTTCAGGTTATTACTCCCATGTACTCCCATGGATCCATATTATAAGCCATTTTTAATTACCTTACTGGAATAAGGAGAGAAGACATTAACTTATTAAGATACTATTTGTGATTATGATTGAAATCACATATAAATATATTTTATATAAATTGAGATAAAACTCTTCTTATATATTTACTTCGTATTCCGTGAATCACGATTAAAAAACTAGTTATAAATTATTCTAAACAGGTTGTAATTTTGTCTGAAAATGATTTTTTTCCCCATTAAGAACATAGAAAAGCAATACACAAGATTTCAAATCCTGTTCTAATAATTGTAATAGGAATAATATTTTTAACAAAAAGCTTATCAGTGACCCACTGGGCTCATAATATACACAAAAATAAATTTTCTTTTAAGACATTCTATATTTGAAATTGGAGAGAGAATCATATTGGAAAACGGTAGTGTTTTGATTTGATTCGATTCTTAACCCAAATAATATATGAAAAAGGAAAATAAAGATAAGGACATCAGTGCCATTTGCATATCTATTTCATTACTGTTTTTATTCTGCTCACCGAAAGGGCTTTCGAACACAGACGCCTTTTTATGCCAAAAAAATAAAAAGGAAAAGAAAAACTCAATGCTCTCGGCCAGCCTCTCTAAATCCGTGCCAAATCGTTCTGAAACTTTCCCGGCTTGCTGCCAATCCACTGCTCTTGGGTAGATTAATGACAAAATCATACAATTTAAGTTTCTTTTTTTTTTTTACCAGGGAATACTTTTTTTTTTACCAAAACCAGGGAATTTCTAAACTTTTTTTTTTATTACCAGAACCAGGGAATTTCTAAACTTTTAACTTCATTTGAAATTTAATCTCTAATTTTTATTTATTTATAATTTTGTACTTATCTTATGCAAAAAATAATAATAATACTGTGCTCATGTGACTACCAGGTTAACTGTCTTTGGATTCTCGCTCTCTCAATCCTACTTTCCAGCGATGGCTGATTGTATCTCTTTTCTTTCTTTCTTTCTTTCTTTCTTCTTCTTGTTTTTTTTCAATCCCCTTCCTCAACCCGACGATGCTTTAAGCAAGACACCACGGACTTCTTCTATTTCTTTTTCATCCGAACAAAATTGATGGACCAGCTGCTTGCAAATTTCCTACCATTTTCCGCCCTTCTCTTCGTTGGAGGATCAGACGCCGTGGAAATTTCTCTCGCTAGAGTATCCAAATCTCAATTTCCTGATTCACTATTGTCCTTATCACATCCATGGCGATTCAAGCGGCAGCATCATCATCCCTTAGCTTTACCAAGTACAGATATGATGTTTTCTTGAGTTTCAGAGGCGAACACACTCGCAAATCCTTCACTGTCATTCTCTACGAAGCTTTGCGCAAGAAGGGAACCAACGCCTTCATCGATAACAGGAAGCTCGGTAAAGGGGAACGAATCGCACCTTCACTTCTTAAAGCCATAGACAAATCCAGGGTTTCCATTATTGTCTTCTCTACAAACTATGCCACTTCCACTTGGTGCCTTGATGGACTGGCTCACATCATTCGGTGTAAGAAGGAGAAGAACTAGGTGGTTATGCCCATATTTTACAAGGTGGATCCAATGGATGTCCAATATCAGAGAAATAGCTTTGAGGAAGCCATAGCTGCTCATGAAGCTAGGTTCATAAATGACGTGCAGAAAGTGCGAAAATGGAAGTCTGCGTTATTTGAAGCCGCTAGTTTGTCATCAGCATGGCTTTTCGAAAATGGGTATGCTTTTTTTTTTTTTTAATAGTATTTTGCTTCCTTATTTGCCTTCTACTGATGAAATTTTCAAATAATTAATGGTAGTTACGCAGTTCATAATGGTGAATCTCTGTAAATTTGGGACTTACTCGCATGATGATCTTATTTACGCATATGTTGTCTTGGAGTTTTTAAAATAATTAGAAACTAGAAAATTGTTAACAAAAATATTTTAATCTAATTTTTAACCGCAAATGTTTATTATCAGAAAATTTTATTTAGTAATTGCTAATATATGTCTATGACTCTGTATCATCATTGGATCTGTGAAAAGTTGGAGACCAACAATAACACTTCCAGATCCAATGTGACATTGCTCTTCAGAAATCGTCAAGACATTAAGCAGGGTCTATTGTTATTGAGAGTTGTGTCCTACTTTTGAATGCAAAATTATTTTGCACAATCATGTATGAGTACAGGATCGATCCATTGGCTTTCTGAGTTAGCTATATGCACAATATCACGTGTATTAAATGGAGTTTGATAAATGAGTTAAGATTTTTTATGACTTGTTCTGCTATTACTGTTTTGGTTTAATTTTAATTTTCTTCTGGTCTGATTCTTTTCGATTTACTTAAATGGTTCCATTTTGTGCTGCAAATGTTTATAGTTCTATAATTTTTTTTAATAAAGAATTACACAATGAAGGGATATGGAGAAGAAAACAGAGAGCTAATTGATATTGAGGTTATGATCTTTGAAGGATTCAATGAGATTTTACTTAAAAGAATTATCATAATAAAGAATAATAACAAGAAGATGACATTTTATATCAATTTTCTTCATAACAGAAAGAGAATTTGCTTTTTTGTAGGTATGAATGCGGGTTTATTGAAAGGATCGTTGAAGATGTCTATGCTCTGCTTCCTCCTAAACCATACCATAACATGGAACGCATGGTTGGACTTGAGCCTCGGGTAGAAGAAATGATCTCGCTTCTAAATAAATCCGACCAAGGCGCTTGCATGTTGGGGATTCATGGAATTGGTGGAATTGGCAAAACCACCCTCGCAAAAGCTATCTATAATTCAATCTTCTACCAATTTGACGCCGGTGCATGTTTCTTGTTTGATGTAAAAGAAGCATCAAAGAAATTCCAGGGCGTTGTTCGTCTTCAACAAAACTTCTATGAGATTCTTGAGGAAAAGAGCATGAAGTTTGGTAGTGCTGACGAAGGAATATTTAAAATAAAACACAGACTCTCTCATAGAGAAGTTTTGTTGGTTCTTGATGATGTTGATGAGATTGAACAATTAGAGCAACTTGCAGGGGGTTGTGATTGGTTTGGTTACGGAAGCAAGGTCATTATAACAGCAAGAAATAAGCAATTGCTCATTGCTCATAATGTCAAAAGAACATATGAATTCAAGGAGCTAAATAACTGTGACTCTCTTGAACTCTTTTGTTGGCTTGCCTTCCAAATGAGCCTACCTCCAAAAGGCTATCAACAAATGTCTAGTCATGTGATAAGTTATGCAAAGGGCCTTCCTTTGGCTATAAAATTAATTGGCGCCAATTTAGCAAATAAAAACTTAAAGGGGTGGAGGTCTACTTTGGAACAATATGATAGGATCCCAGAAAGAACAATACATGAAGTACTAAAGATAAGCTATGACTGCTTGCAACTTGGTGCTAAGATTATTTTCTTGGATATTGCTTGTTTTTTTTGAAGAGGAGATATTGGGTAATATTGATGAAATAGTAGAAGCTTGTGATTATGGTGCAAGGTTTTATATTGAAGTGCTTATTGATAAATCTCTTTTAACTATTAGTGATAATGATCATTTATGCTTGAGTGATCTAATAAGACAAATGGGGAGAGAGATTGTCAGGAGGGAGGCAGCATCAAATCCTGACAAACGTAGTAGATTATGAAAACATGAAGATGTTCTTAAAGTACTAGATGAAAATTCTGTAAGAACATGACTATTTTTGTCTCCTCACACATCAAATTTATTGTGCTGTTAGGCAATATCTAACTAATGATACTTATTTGTGCTTGCATTATAGGGTGGTCGCAATATTGAAGGAATAATGTTTGTTCCGCCTCAACAACAAGAAGTGGAGTAGAGTGGTATAGCCTTTGAGAAGATGAATAATCTTAGAATTCTTATTATTCGAAAGGCCCAATTTTCAACTGGCCCTAAATATCTTCCTAATAGTTTAAGACGGCTTGAATGGGACGGATATCCTTCTACAGAATTACCGCCAAATTTTTCTCCAAACAAATTAGTTGTCTTCAAGTTATGTTACAGTCCTTTCAGGTTGGAAGAGCCATTCAAGGTACCTTTTCTTTAACCCTTTGTATTTACCTTTTTGTTAAAATTTCCCTCGCTTTTATTTTCTTCAAAGAATCAAGAATAAATAACTTCAATTACCCTTCAATATTTATAAGCCTATTTAGCAATCTCTTACATCAAATGCACTTATCCCCCTCGCCCCCCCCCGGGGGGGATTTGGGCTTAACATCTAATGTCAATTAAGCAATCTCTATTTTGTTTTGGCAGAGATTTGAATATTTGACACGTCTGAATTTCTCCCATTGTGAATTCATAACTGAAGTGCCCGATATGTCTCAATTCCAAAGTCTAAGGAGACTGCTGTTTAAAGGTTGTTACAATCTGATCAAAGTTCATGATTCGGTGGGATTTCTCGCTAAGCTGGTTCAATTAGATGTCAGTGAATGCACCAACCTTACAAGCTTCTACGTGAAATTAACATGCCATCTCTTGAGGAGCTTTATCTCAATCATTGCAGGTGTCTTGACTACTTCCCTCATATAGTGGGGAAGATGGATGCAGTAACAGATATTTGGGCTAGAGACACTTCTGTTATGGGGCTCCCACCATCCATTGGAAATCTTTCCGGGCTTGAACGCTTAAATTTAAGCTATTGCAAAAATCTTGTGGAGATTCCAAATAGCTTATTCACGTTGCAAAATCTTAGCTGGCTTGAGTTGAAAGTCATTCAACCTGATAGTAGAAAATCTTTAAAGAAATTAATGCAAGAGAGCCAACCATTTATTAGCTGCACAAACGTGCAATTCTTGATGCTGAAAAATTGTTGTCTATTGGATGAAGATATTCACCTAGCTCTTAATCTTTTTCGGAATTTGATAATGTTAGATTTATCAGGGAATGATTTTGTATCCCTTCCTGAGTGTCTTATAGAGTGTGATCAGTTGTGGAAATTGGATGTGAATAGCTGCAAGAGGCTGAGAGATATATACCCCACTTACCATCAAATTTGCAGAAAATTGGGGCAGAGAATTGCATCTCATTAACTACAAAGTCATTAGGCCATTTATGGTCTCAAGTTTTGCAGGTACTTTTATCTATTTTATTTGTTTCCTTTGCTAATTTATTGATTAGCCCATAAAATTTTTCTTTATTCTTTTCATATGTTGTTCTCACATCTGAAATTTGTCTTTGGCCTGTTTTGGTAAGTTAGGCAAGAAGGGAGTCCACTGGCATCACCGCCATTTTCCCAGCAACAACATTTCCTAATTGATTCCACAATTGGTGTGAAGGAGGGAAAATGTCTTTTCTTGCTCGTAGGAATTTCCTTCATCTTGCCTTTGCATTTGAATTGGGGAAAGCCAACAAAAGTAGGACACAACCCTTCCATATTTCTATTAGCATCAATGGTCGTGTACTACTACAAAAGACATGTCGTGGTGTCCCAATTGCACAAGGTCATGTGTCTTTACTTAACCTGGGAGGGGCTTTTTGGGGAGAAGATTGGAGGTGGCTTAAAAGATGCATGGTGTTGGATTGGAATGATGTGGAAATACAAGTCATTTGTTTAACGACAAACATTCATGTGGTCGAGTGTGGAGTTTATGTGTACCAACAGCCAAAAAACATGGAGAATATCGAATTCAACTCTCCTTTGGTTTCCATGAATGCTCCTACAACAACTTCACTGAAACGAAGAGCCATAACTTCTCCTCCTAATGAACCTGACAAGAAGTTCCTGAGAAAGTTAAAGGTTGCTGATAAAGGAAAACTCGATAAAACAAAGAAAGCTTCAAGGTTTGTCTCTACTTGATACTGATATATTGTCGTTTCAAGATTTTTGCTTATTATTAATTTTACCAGATTCATGTATTGTAGGAGAAATAAACGACAACAATTTGTTCATTCACGTTGCAAGAGAAGAAGGATAGGTTTTCCAATTGGTAAGTATGTTTGGAGATTTTTGAACAGTTAGCAACTACATATTACAGTTGCTAGCCCGGTGTTTGTTGAGGGGCCCCCAAAGATGAGACCATGAAGCCTCCAAGCTGTTACGGATCCTGATGCAAAATTAGTGGCTTAATTTGCAAGAGATTGAAAGCTATATATGTAGAATAATTATGATACGATTTTTCTTCTTCTTTTGTTACAATTACAATCATAACTTTTGAAATAAGATCTCTTTGGTTTTTTGGTCAGTAAACTCTTGAAATATGATCTGAATGTAAGGCTCATAAACAAGGTTTTCTGGATTTTGTTAATGCAGAGGTCCTTCAACGACCCCTTTATTTTTTAACAAAAATTGAGCTAAATTATTCCCAAAATAAAAAAAAAACTCCTGAACTTTAGGCTTGGGTGTTTGAATTAGGGAAAATACAACTTTTGGTTTCTCAAATTTAGGCCCATTTAGTTTTTGGTCCCTGAAATTTAAGACCAAAGGTATTGGTTCCTGGAATTTACTCCGTTACAAAATGTTAGTCCTTGGGAGTGATGTATCGTTACAGTTTATTGAGGTAGCACAAACAGTGTCAGCTATGATGAATTGGTTTCTGACTTGGCAACATGAGTTGATTAAGTGGCATGGGAGCTGAATATTTGATGTGAAAAATTAAAAAAAAAAACAAAAGAAGGCACCTGTTTAAAGAAAAAGACAAAGGATCCATGTTTGAAAAAAGATAGAGGACCCACATCAAATACTTGGGGGGAATAGAGGAAAATGACGGTGCTGTCGATTAGGGCATAAATGATGGAACAAAACGATTTGGCGAGGGGCCGGTAGGCAAAGGGAGAACGAGTTCTGGCGAAGCTATAGTGGCAGAAAGAAAGAGGAGATCCGATGAAGGTGCACTGGGTGAAGGAAAGTTGGGCGAAGGGAAGTGGAAAGCTTTGCGAGGGGGAGAGAAGCTCAACTGAAGGCACATAACCGAGACGTAACTGGAGCTGGACGAAATCAATTTTTGGCGCATCTCTTCTTTGACCTATCGTCAACCTTCAAGTTTTCATTGGCTGTGTTGTTCTTTAATGGCTTCTAGTAGAAGTTCAGCTTCACACACTATGAATAAACAAAGGGAATCTGCTAGAGTTTTATGCAATTCCCAGAAGCAACAAATATGAATGAAGAAAGGAAATCTGCCAGAGTTGCAATTCCAATATAATGAATTTACAAAAGAAAGAACATTGTATTCTTTCCCACAAAATACATGAATAAGAAGGTGTTATACCCAAAATATTACTCCCTCCGTTCCTTATTATAAGAGACATTTGATACTTATGGCATGTTCCTATATATAAGAGACACTTAAAAGTTGTCTCTATTTTTTTGTATTGATTTCCTATTTTACCCCTATTTATTTTGTCTCCAACTCATACTTTCTCTCCCTCCCACTTCTCTTTCTTTTAATAATTTAATTGTTCTCTCTCATACTCTCTCTCCTTATTAATGGGGGTATTGTTGGAAAAAACATTATACTTTTTACATATTAATTGTCCTCAACTAATTTTAACTGTTTTTTTGATCAACGTGATTTGGTTATTTGTCTCTTATAATAAGGAACGGAGGGAGTACTAACACCAAAGCCAAGTTTGTCTGTCCATTTGGCTAGTAGTCACAAAATTTACAAGTTTGCAAGTTACAAATACATAGCATGATTAAGAAGGTTGACTACTCCCAGAAGGAGTTGCAATAATTTATTCCCGAGCAGAAGAAGCCTGTTTTGTTTTCCTTTTGATTGGAAGCTTGGTAGGTCTCTTGGATTGCTTTCAAGAGCATCGGTTGTGACCTTGTTGCCCACAATTGGAACATTGGAAAACACGATATTGACGGTTCTCATTTTCAACCTCAGGTATTTGTTCATCTCTTCCTTTCTTTTGTTTCTTCTTGGGCCTCCCAGTACGCTTGTGATAAACTAGAGGATCAATAGCCTCACCATCTGTTTTGCTAAATTACCTTTCTCTAAACTGTTTTTCTCTAATATATGTTCGAGAACTGGTCTTCTCGAATACATATTTGAGAATTGGTTTTTGGTCTTCTCGAATACATATTTGGGCCACTCCTTCCGTTTTGTTAGATTACCTTTCTCTGAACTATTTTTCTCCAATATATATTCAAGAACTAGTCTTCTCCAATACATATTTGAAAAAATTTGATCTTCTTGAGTATATATTTGGGCCGCTCCCTACGTTTTGTTAAATTACCTTTTTTCTAAACTCTTTTTGTCCAATATATATTGAAGAATTAGTCTTCTCTAATACATATTTAAGAATTCATAGGTAATATACATACATATATATATGACACTGCATGTATAATATACATATATATATATATATATCATAACAAGTAATAACACAAATGAATATGCAAGTTATAACAGCACCATACATACATATGTATATTCCACCCTGAATATACTAACCTTGTAAACTATAAATATTTACCTACAAGGAATTCCATTACTGTCACTACTCTCATTCCTCTCCTCATCGAGATCCATATTTAACTTGTGATAGCAAAATATTCAACTAAAATAGAACATAAAGCAAAGTAAGTTAACATATAAACAATCAAAATAGTACCACAATTCAAGCAGAAAACAGAGCACAATGCAACAAAAGTAAACAAAAACATAGCATACTCACTGCTCAACAAAAACAATACGGACACTCAAACCGACAGGTCAATGCTCTATAATAAAATGAAATCAAATGAGCGCCCTCTTGCTGCTCATGCCAACAACTTCTAGAAAAAACTAAAAACAGAGCATGCATGAAGACACAATACTGAAGAGGATCAAAGACCTAAGCAGTTAAATAGGTTAAAAATCTAACAAAAACAACATAAACAATAAATGACTATACAACTAATTAAAGCAAACAACTCTAAATCAAAGATGCAATTGATGGATCAATCACCATTCCCATCCTTCCTCTTCCCCAGCCGACTCCTTACTTTTCTCAAACATGAATTAATCAACTATATACAAAATACACATTACTTCTTCACCTTTCAATTAACAATTGAGGAAGCAAATGGTGGGTTCAATTTTGTCGCACCACCATTGTCAGAAATGCTGTTATTCTGGTGATGACCACGTCACTCTTCGCCTCTAGGTGTGGGTCCTCTTTGACCTACCGCCTTTCCCATTGTTTTCTTCTATTTCATATGCACCATTGTTTTCCTCTGCTTCCCTACAAGTGTCTGATGTGGGTCCTCTGTCTTTTTTTAAACATGGGTCCTTTATCTTTTTCTTTAAATAGGCGCCTTCTTTCTTTCTTTCTTTCTTTTTATTTTCCCCGTCAGATATCTAACTCCCATCCTACTTAATCAGCTCATGTTGTCAAGTCAGAAGCCAAATCATCATATAGCTGACACTATTTGTGCCATCTCAACAAACTGTAACGGCGCATGACTCCTAGGACTAACATTTTGTAATAGAGTAAATTCCAAAAACCAATACCTTCGATCTTAAATTTCAGGGACCAAAACCTAAATAAGCCTAAATTTGAGGGATCAAAAGTTGTATTTTCCCTTTGAATTAGTTTTTTAAGAGTGATTTTCTGATATACCAAATAAAGATTTGAAAGAACTTCTTATTTCAATCTATGTGAAAATACTTTTTTATTACGTGCCAAACCGGACATTCATTCATTACTTTTTCATCGCCGTGAATGGCGACCAGCTCAAGACCCAACGACAGGTCCAGAGATTGCTTCCATGGTGGCGAAGATTGAGGAATAACGAGTACGGAATGGGTGAGTGAAGAAGAGGTTCGATTGGATTCACTGTCCACGATGACTGGTTTGTTGCCCGCTGTGAGTGTGGTTTCGTGGTTTCCCAATCCGTAAACTCTACCCCTGTGTAATTTTTTTAAAAAAAAATCATAAAAATTCCATGTGTCCTGATTTGGCAATGTTTTTTAACATATCGGATGATGGACTTAGAGTTGAGTTGACTCATGAATGACTAGGATTATGCTTTTAAAAAATTTAGAAGATAAGAGACTATGCTATAGCCAAATTAAAAGTTTAGAGAATAAGTTATAATGGAAGGATTGAGTTACAAGTAAATTAAAAATTAAAAAGATTAGAAGATTAATTTTTTCTAATAATTTTATAAAAACTTTCCAAATTTAAAACCAATAACTCCAAACATTTCAAAATTTAAATTTACTATCTTATATATGTCCTAAAATTTATGTCCTTTTTAGCTATTTTATATCTAAATTTTGTTTTTCATTAATCATCTAACAAAATTTCAGTTTATCAAACTGATTTTTTTTTTTTTGCAAAAGCAAACTTAAATATAAATCACAGACCTCTATTATAACTTGAATTTGCAACACTCAGATTAAAAACAACCACTTCTGTTACGGATAATCTAAAACACACCATCGCCATTTCAGTCCGGTGAAAAACCAATATCCTATTCTCAAAATTCACGGAGCATAAGCCATGTTTCAGAACAGAAGTGTTAAATTTTTATGAAAACTTTTCCTAAACTTAATATTGGTCCCGTTGAATATTTAATTGAAAGCTTGGAATTTTTCTACAAAATAATTCTGTTAATTAGTTCTACGTCCGATTTTTCCCTATTCATACAACAATACACTGCATCCGTACTCTTGATTGATAGTAACGCGTCTTCTCAAGTCGAAGCCTGGAGGGCCCCCTAAGCAGTGAGGCATCTTGATGAAGATTTTGACAGGGGAAAGAGCACTGGATTCCAAAAGACAGCCAACAGGAATTAAACTTTTGCCTTGCTCGTCCCTGGTGAGCTACATTTCTGTAAATTTCTCTCTTCTTACAGAATCAAATATCAATCTATAGCAATCGGTAGGGTTTATCGCAGCCTTGGCGATTCAAGTTTCAGCACAATCATCCCATGGCGTAAGGGAATCAACGCCTTCATAGATGACAAGAAGCTCGGGAAAGCGGAACGGATCTCACCGACGCTTCTTAAAGCCATCGAAAAATCGAGGATTTCGATTATTGTGTTCTCTATGAACTACGCTACTTCCACATGTTGCCTAGATGAACTTGCTCACATCATTCGGTGTAAGGCGGAGAAGAACCAGATGGTTATGCCCATTTTCTACAAGGTGGATCCGATGGATGTCCAGTATCAGAGGAATAGCTTTGGTGAAGCCATGGCTGCTCATGAAGTTAGGTTCGGAAATGACTTGGAGAAAGTGCGAATATGGTGTCTGAAGCTGCTAGTTTGTCATCGGTATGGCTTTTCAAATATGGGTAGGTTTCTTTATATTATTTTCTTTATGACGTTTTGTTGATAGAATTTTCCGATTCTTAATTGAAACTTTGATGGGTGACTTTTATTGTTGCACTTGAAAAGGTGAACCCTTGTGAACTTGGGCCTTAAGAAATCGTGTAGAAGATATGTTATTAAACAGAGTATCTGTTGTTATTGAGAGTTGTACTGGTACCCTTTATTTTTTTGGTTAAAGTTTCTGAATCCAGTACGTATTTCTAATAATTCTGCTTTATTTGAAATCCAATATTATTGCGGACATTCATATATGACTATAGAATTTTTGGTAGAAAAAATGACTATAGAATAATTAGCTTTTGGAGTACACTTTCTTTTGTCGCACATGAATGATGGTTAAGTTTCAGTATTTTTGGGGATTGTTAAGATTTTATAATTGACATTAATAATGATTTGTTATAACTTTAGTTTTTGAAAAGCATTTTTTTTGGGTCAAATAAAAGCATAATTTTGTTGGTCTGGATTTTTTTTTTTTTTTGTCTATTTCTATTTGGTCGAGTGGCAAATATTTTTAAATCAAATGTTAAATATATATGTTGCACATTTTTTAAGTACTTTTATGGTGTCGGAGGATAAAGATAATAACAGAGCATGTTGATGTTATCTTTAAAGCATCCAAGTATGATTCGTTTTTTTTTTTTTAAATAAAAACAGATGTATGGTAAAACTAACAAATGCAGACATATTTTGCATCAATATCTTCATTTTAAGAATAGAAAATTTCCTTTTTGCAGATATGAATCGGATGCATATTCTAGCTAGGCTGCCTCCTAAACGGCTCCATAACATTGCTAGGCTGCCTCCTAAACGGCTCCATAACATTGATTACATGGTTGGACTTGAGCCCCGTTTTGAAGAATTGATGTCGCTTCTGGGTGAAAGTGATTATAGCGTTTGTATGTTGGGGATTCATGGAACTGGTGGGATTGGCAAGACAACCCTTGCAAAAGCCTTGTATAATACATTCTTCTACCAATTTGAAATTATACAGTGATTTTCCTCATATAAAAGCTTTCAGTAATTATATCGGTACTTATTTGAAATTATACAGTGATTTCCCTCATATAAATTACTCATGCTCTCTCTCGCCCTCTACATACGCGTCAAGTCATTCTAAAATTAAACACCCAGAGTTCCCCACTTTTGAGTATTATTCGAAATGCCCGATTTTCAAATGGCCCTAAATATCTTCCGAATAGTTTGAGATGGCTTGAATGGGAGGAAAATCCTTCTAAAAATTTACCACCAACTTTTTCTCCTGACAAACTAGTTTTCTTCAAGTTATGTTATTAACTTTTTATATTTACCTTCATTATTCAGCTTTGTTTCGCCTTTATTTTATTCGAAGAATCAAGAATAAACTGCTTCAATTACCCTTCTATTTTTCCAAACCTTGGTTTAATCCTGTTTCTTCAAGTCTGCTCAAATCTTCTTGCCTTTTTATTTTTCCTCGTTAAATCGTAAGGGTTTGGTCATAGCATCTCTTGTAATTAATGTCAATTAAACAATCCTTTTTTTTTTGGCAGAGATTTGAATGTTTGATATGCATGAATTTCTCACACTGCGAATTCATAACTGAAGTACCTGATATGTCTCAATGCCAAAGCCTAAGGAGATTGTCTTTTAACGACTGTTACAATTTGATCAAAATTCATGATTCAGTGGGGTCTCTCTCAAAGTTGGTTGCATTAAATGTTGGTGGATGCATCAAACTTACAAGCTTTCCACGTGAAATCAATATGCCATTTCTTCAAGATATTATGCTGAGTCATTGCAAGAGTCTTGACTACTTCCCACATATAGTGGGAACGATGCATGCATTAAGTTATGTTTGGGCTGATGACACTTCTATTAAGGAGCTCCCACCTTCCTTTGAAAATCTTACTGGGCTTGAATCTTTGAAGAAATTAACGCAAGAGAGCGAACAAGTTATTAGCTGCGCAAACATGGAGTTCTTGATGCTCGAAAATTGTTCTCTATTGGATGAAGATATCCACCTAGCTCTGAATCTTTTCCCGAATCTGGTACAGTTATATCTATCAGGGAACGAATTTGTGTCCCTTCCTGAGTGCCTTAAAGATTGTGGTAGGTTGGTGAAATCGGTTGTGACTAACTGCAATAGGCTGAGAGATATGCCAGAGTTACCATCAAATATGCCGGAAGTAGAGCCAGAGAATTGCGTTTCATTAACTGCAAAGTCATTAGGGCATTTATGGTCTCAGGCTTTTCTCATAATTTATCTTCTTTTTTTTTTTGCAACTATTTTTATGATTATTCCAATTAAATACAATTGTGATTGGTTTGAAATGAAATTAAAATAAAAATAAAATAAAATAGGGTTAAGGTGTAAATTGTTTATTGTGAAAGTTTTTATTTGGGAGCGCTGGACAGTAAGAAGTTTTTTGGGTGTAAATTTATCTCAAAAGTTTAAAATCATTACAATATGACCTCTATCGTTAAAAATATTAGCAGTTAATGGCACTTTTTTAGCAGTCAACATTGGTTTTTTAATAATAAAGGGCGAGATGGCTATGACTTTAAATTTTAGAGCAAATTTACACCCCAAAAAAAAATTCTAGATATCAGACGCTCTTGAGTGAAAACTTCCAAGATGAATTTTAATCCAACAAAATATGGCTTATCTTTAATTAAGTCTCATATTTTTCTTTGGTTTGTAGATTTTTGAATTGAATTTATTTGCTTGCATATCATTAATTAAGTCATCATAGTCATATCGAGCAGTTTGCTTGTGAAAGTTAACTCAGCCATAAAATTTCTCAATATTCTCTTCATATGTCTTCAAATCTGAAAAATGTCTCTTATTTTGGGAAATCAGGCAAAAAATGAGATCGTTGACATCAGGGCCATTTTCCCATCAACAGCGTTCCCTGATTTGTTCCACAATTGGTGCGAGGGAAAATTTCTTTTCTTGCTCATAGGAATTTCCCTCCCGTTGCCTTTGCTTTTGAGTTGGGGTAAGCCAACAGGAGTAGGAGACTATACTTCCATATTTCTCTGAACATCAATGGTCGCGTGTTACTACAGAATACATGTGGTGGTATCAGAATTGCACAAGGTCATATGGTTTTATTTAATCTAGGAGGGTGTTTTGCCCCGGAAGATTGGAGGTGGCTTCATAGATTCATGGTACTCCTCCGGTCCTAATTATAAGACCCAATTTGACTTTTTATTTGGTCCTAATTATAAGACCCAATCCATTTTGTCTCTTATATTTATGCATTTTTTTCCAAGATAATCCTTCTAATAATGATAGTTTTAGCCAATATACTTAATTAGCAAGGATATTTTAGGAATGACAACACTTATTTATTATAAATAACCAACTTAACTTACTTCCTTAATCTCCTCAAATAAGTCAATTGGGTCTTATAATTAGGACCGGAGGAGTATTTTATTGGAATGATGTGGAGATACAAGTCCCTTGTTTAAACCCAGATATACCTGTGGTTAAGTGTGGAGTTTATGTGTACCGACAGCAAACAAACATAGAGAATATCCAATTCAAGTCCCCTGTTATGCTTACCACGAATGATTCAACAACTTCACTGGAACAAAGAGCCATGTCTTCTCATCCTAGTGAACCCGACAAGAAGTTTCTGAGAAACTTAAAGGTTGCTGATAAAGGAAAACTCGATAAAACAAAGAAAGCTTCAAGGTATTCCTGTACTTGATACTGATATATTGTCGTTTCAAAATTTTTGCTTATTAAATTTTCCTTTTCCTGTTCATGTATTGTAGGAGAAATAAACGACACCAATTTTTTCATTCTCGTTGCAAGAGAAGAAGGATGGTTTTTCCAATGGGTAAGCATGTTTGGAGATTTTTGAACTATTGGCATTTAATATTTTGCTGAATGAGTGGCTCTTGAAATTTCTGGTTTTGGACTCCAGTTAGCGGGGTTCTTCATTTGCTGATGTACAGGAATAACGATTACCTCTTGGACTAATTATTACGGCTAATCTTTTTAGATCATTTAATAAAATATATTTCTAGATAATTAAAAATACACAATTTAAAAAAATATCTCATAAAATTAATTATACAACTGTTTCATAACGAAAAAAAGAATCAGCTTTTGTTCTATAATAGTCAATTTCTTTATATTAAAAAATTGAAACTCTTAAACAAAGTTTGATGTTTTATATAATAGTCGATTTGGTTACGAGTTCTACATCCATAGATTGTGTTTTTTCCTATTAAATTATTACTAGTACCAACATACGCAGAGAGCCCGGCAAAACGCTTTTTTTTTTTTTCAAATATATAAATGAATGATTGCAAATTAATTCACGTAAGCTAACTTAGAATACGACAAAAAAAAAAGGAAGCAAACATGCATTTTCGAAAGCGAATATTTTATGGAAAATCCCCCCAAATACAAGGTGTGATAATTTTCTATGTCTGCATTTTTTTCGCCAACATGTCTTTTCTAGATCTAGAAATCGGGAAAAGTACCTGCAGAGGAGCCTTTCAGTACGTGTTTAAATTGGTTTGTTTAAATGCTTATAAGTATACTTTACATAGATCAAAACAGAATTCCTCTTATATACTTATCTTATATTTTATAAATTATGATTGAAAAATTGCTTAGAGAGATATACATTAAATGCATATGTTTTACAAGCCACGATCACCCCATGATATTCCATTTACAAAAAAAATTCCATGCGGTAGGCCGAATTATTTTCATTTGTTTATGCATATAGTCTTACAACTGGTACTTATACATGAAATTCCAGTCAACCCTCTTCGCCTTGACCATTATAAATATAATTGAATTTCTTCTTATTTTCGTCACTTTTCAGCTTGAATTTCTGTTTTTTTTTTTTTTTTTGCATGTGTTTAGTTAGAACTTGTACCTCCTGAAAATCTGATTTGTAATGCCTTAATTTACTTGCATTTGCCTATCTTCACCGTTTTTTATCATATACTCTGCTCTCTAGCTATCGGAACCTTCTTAATTGCTTAGAGTATAAAATTCACAACTATTTTTTAATATAAAAAGAGGTATGTGGTGCCATGCATGTGAGCCATAATAAGCTCTTAATAGTTCTACTTTCTTTAGTATTGTGGACCCATTTTCTATGAAAGGAGGAAAACAAAACTCTCATGCCCACGCAAAGAGAACTTTTAATGAGGAGGGGTTTTAGGGTAAAAATGTGTTTCTTTTTTCTTCTTGAATTCCCTTCTCTTTTAATGATTATAGTTTTGATTCATGTAACTTAGTACATAAATTGTAACCCCTTGCAGCTTAGCCTTATATTTTTTATTTGGTTGTAATTTGGTCTCTAAACTTTGAGTAAACGTGACTTAATATTTATAATTAAACCATTTCTAGATATTGAATTAAACCATTTATAAAGATTGACTTACAATGAGTTAAAAATCTAGGTAATAAAATTGAACTAAGTTTCAGCGGTAACAAATAAAAATTTAGAGATGAAGCTCTTGAATTCTCCCCGTGCAATGCACACAGCGGCATACTTGATTAGGGTTGAAATTTCACTAGATTGCATTGTTTTAAGCATTAATATTAGAGTGTTAATAATAGATATTATGAATATTCTAATTGATAGATATTATTATGCATTTAATTTTTAGCCATTCTCTCTTTTATAATAAGTGAGCACCTCAATGGCTTTGAAAATATTCTTAACCCGTTCTGACTCATATTTAAAGGAATCAGGTTAAGACAATCAAATTCTCGAAGCAGGTGTATACCCATGCTCTATTCTGGACTATTTCTGCTTGTAGGGCCTGGTCCCATAGCAGAGTGCTTTCAGCTCGTCCGGCTTGGACATAGTCGACTCCGAACTTTGGCACACTTGGAAACATCTCCCTGGATTAGCCTGATTTTAGCTATAGTCCTGACTGGAAATCCATATTCTGGAGCAACATGGAAAAACTTGATAACCTTAAGACTCCTAGGAGCCCCATATTCTCTTGCTGCTTTCTTGATTAATGGATTTAATCTTTGAAGAGGTTTTAAATCTTGAAAATATAATTGGTCAAGAAAACCATGATCAAATAATTCTTTTACTAGATCTAGATGGGTTGCTGGAGTGGCAGTGACTCGTGGTAGGTCATCCTTAAATTCAATAGGATAACTCTGTTCACTTTCCTCTCTGTTTCTGGCATAGATTCTGTCAAATGCCTACTGGTATTCCTTCATATACTGGTAAAAGAGGACAGTATTTTTGGGAAGTTCTAGAAATTGGCTGCTACTTGGTGGCCTTTGAGTAGAATCCTTGAAGCTAACTGTGAAGTTAACTGCTGGTGTCTGCTCCGGCTTTTGTACCTTTTTTTTCTTTTTTGTAATTTTTTGTTTTGATTCCCAAAGGGGATCATGTTGGTTCTTTTCTTTCTGGAGGGTGTCCTTATAGGACTTTGATAATACAAGATTATCATCTGGAGTTCCAAGCAAATTATTGCTCTGGTCTGGAGTTTTTTGACCAGTTTCCTGTCCATTACTAGAGGTCTCCATTGAGGAGCCACTGGAAGTGGGTCTCTCGATGCCACTAATGTCTTTTGGTGGTCTTACCTCTGAAAGATTTGCACTAAGGAGGACTCCGTAAACTTGTTCTTCTAGTACAGTCACAATAGCCTATACCTCAAAAACTTTGGCTTGGGCCTCAATATAGGCATGATATTTCTCATTAGCTTCTTTTGATACATATCTAGGGTTGCGTTCTGGATCTGGATTTGCTGGATCTTTTGCTTGACTTTCTCTCCGAAGCTGTTCTCCATATCTGGAAAGGAAATCAGTAAAAATATTTTCTGAACCTTTAATCTTTTTAACTGTAAAAGAATATAAAGACAAAAAGGCTCTCCATCTAGCTCGTCTGTGCTGGCTTATTGTATCTGGGCACTGGTTGTTAATGAAAGCCAAAACCTGTGAATTGTCAGTTTGAATTTCGAAGGTTTTTCTACTATCTAAATTTCAAAATTTTTAATTGCATTAATTATAGCTAACAATTCTTTCTGGCTGATATCATAATTTACTTCGGCATTTTTAAACTTCCTGAAGCATATGATACTTTGGATTTACTGGTTCTTCTTTCTTCCACAATACAGCACCCCAATAGTAATCTGAGGCATCTGTCTGGATAAACAGTGAATCATCATCTTTTGGTAAGGTGATGGGTTGTACTATTTTTCTGACTATTTCTTTTACCTGGATTATCTCATGAGCGTCTTGTGGGCCCACTCAAATGGTTTTTTACCTCTCAGCTTTTGCTGTAGGTTTTCCCTTATTCGTGACCCTAATGGAATAAAGTTCAAAGCATAATTAAAGATTCCTAAAAATCTTTGTAGCTTCTTTTTATCTTTTATCTGATCTGGAAAAGTTAAAAGTGAATGAATTATATTAGGCTGTAATTCAATCACTCCTTGATTTAGGTTTAACCCTAAGTACTCTATCTTTTCTTTTCCTATCTCGGCTTTTTTCTTGGATATTACTAATCCATTATTATAAGCTAGACAGGCAAAAACAAGCAAGTGCTTTGGTGGCCCTGCACGGAGGATGAATAAACAAGGATATCATCAATATAAACAAGAATAAAATTTCTGTATTTATTGAAGATTTGATCCATCCTTTCTTGAAATATTGTTGGACTGGTCTTTAATCCCATGGGTAGGACATTCCATTCATAATGTCCATTAGGAACTAAGAAGGTTGTATATTCCCTGCAATGTTCTGCAAGTTCAATCTAGAAGAAACCTGATTTACAATCAAACTTAGAATAAATTTTGCTATGTTTGATTTTTTTTTTTTTCAAAAAAGGATTTCTTTTTTTGGTAGAGGATATGTATTAGCTTTGACTACGGCGTTTAAGGCGTTGTAGTCTATTACTAACCTTGGTTCTCCTCTCTTGATTTGAGTACTTTCGTACTAAGAATCCTGGACAATTCCATGGACTTTGTGAAGGCCTAATCGACTTTTGGTCGATTAGCTTTTGTATGATTGGAGGGAAATCATCGATATCCTGTTTAGAATATCTTCTTGGCTTTTCTTATATTGGATTTGGTTTTATGAGCTTAATTTCTGCTACATGGTTTTTTCTATTAGCAAAAGCTCTTGGATTTTCTTCAAAGATTTTTTCTAATACCTTTTCAAGTTATCAGAAATCCGGAATTTTTTTGGTTTATCACCTAATCCACCACGCTGGGCTAAGGAGCTCTGATGGATGAAGGTATAATGGTGTCTAAGCGGTTTCTTTAACAAGGGCAAAGAAAGCTCAGTATTGTAATGTGTAATTGCCTCAAAATACCGTTGTTTAAAGGTATATTGTTGGAAGACTTGTCCAAGGAATCAGGCTCCTAAAATTAGGTCACCCTATTTTAGGGTTATAGTAGAATTCTGTTGCCTTGAATTCTATATGGCTGACTTGGATATAAAGATATTTATATCCTAAATGGTACTGGGTTTTGTACTGGTTAACATCCACAACAACTTTGAGTGGTAATTCCTGGAGGTCACCTATCTTTTTTGATATAAGGTTCATGGAACTACCTGTGTCAAGCAAGGAAAATGGAACCTTTTGTAGTCTACCCATATAGGAATATATGGTGTAAGCTTAGTTGAGTCTTGGTATTCTTGATCCATTAACCGTCAGGCTGGTATTCTCTAACACACAGTTGTTCTGGGTTAGGAAATCTTGTCCTAACATAATGTTGGTGTTTACGTCTTCAATAAGTTTGAAGACATGGACAACTCTTAATTCTTCTCCTGAAGAATCTTGGAATAGACATATTGTTCGCACCGCAAGTGCACGGATCGTTACAAGTAATAAAGTGATAAGTAGAGTATTGCTCTCATAAAGATTTGGTTTCAAAACCCGGTCAAGTATTGATTATTACACTTTCGCTTAATTCAAGTAATACAAATATCAAGAGTGAAGTAACTATTTATAAGATTAGAAATTAATAAAAAGAAAAAGTGATTCTTCAATTCCAATGATTCAAAGGGACCTAAGATTATTTATCCCCTTTATATTTCAAAAGCACTCAATTAAATCCCCATTATATTTGCTTCTTAATTATAGATTATGTTAGCCAAGAATACTAAATTACCTATAAGTGCTCTCTCAAGTCTCTAAATAGGTGTTTAGCTCAATTAATTCCTTAATCTCTTTATTAATTAATTAAGCCCCAATTTTAATTGCAAACTTTATGTGACTATGTGAGGTTAATGAGTATATCTTATCTCATTAACAAAACCATCCATCCAACTTGCAAACTTCAAGTTCCCACACAATTTTACTCAAGTTCTACATTCCACCTAGCCTTCTCAAGTATTAATCAAGTGAACCCAACAATCTCATTGATGGCCAATCAACAACAAGCACTAAGCATAGAGTAAAATCAACACAATCATATCATTAATCACAAATATATAAGGGAAATGAGTACTTAATATATACAAGAGTTCAAAATAATCCTAGAATCAAAGTATTTAGCCACAGATACTCAGAAAATCCACAAGAATATATGTATACATCAGCACAAAATGGAATAAGAGTAGAGAAAGCAAGATGAAAAGCAAAAACTAAGAAAGAAGCTCAAATCTCTTCAAAGCTCCAACTCCTAGCTCAATCACCTCCAAAAAGCAAGCCTTAGCACAGCCAAAGACTCCCAAGAACCACTCAGAACTGAAGAACGGTGGCCAAGGTCAAGTTTTGGGGCTTAAAACCTAGAATTTTTTTAGCTTAGTTGAGCTGTGCGTTTGCTGTCAGTGACTACGCCGCGGCCCAAAAATTTTGTGCCGCAGCCAAATTTTTCTCTGTTTCAGTTGAGCTGCAGTTAGATCAGAGTGCACCGCAACTCATTTTGCCTTTGAAAAATTTTGCTCTTCTTGCTCAAATGAGGAGTTCTACTTATAATGATTTGGCCTCTACTTGTTCTTCTTTTGATCATCATAATGTAATTCCTAAGAAACCTTGATCTTTAATTCCTTCTGAAGTACTTCCAAGTGGCTTGAAATTTTAATTCTTAGACCAAAATAATCTTGCAAAAGTGACAAACTTCATAAGCTCAAAAATAGCAAGGATAAATGCCAAAATATGAACAAATACCTCTAAAAGTGCATAAAACTTAAAAAAAAAGTACTGAAATGACATGAAATTCTAGAAATTAACACACCCCCAAACTTAAACTTTTACTCGTCCTTGGGTAAACCACATGCTAAAATAACTAGAGTGATCAATTATCCACTTACTTAGCATGAATGAAGGTTTCCTCATAGTTGCTCAACAAGATATACTTAACAGGAACATAGTGAAATACAGAAGAATGCAAGATCCACAATATAAAAACATGCTTTCTATCAATTTTCAAAATGTGTGTGTGTGAAAGGAGTCAGAATACGATTTTCCTGCAACTGTTAAGATCAACTATAACACTTCGATATGTTTAATACAACCTCAAGATCAGGACTTTATATGCCTAGCATTTTCCTCCCTCTCAACAAAAGAATGACTTCACACAATTCTAAAATCAATGGGACTTTGTAAGCTTGTAATGTGGCTATGGGTTAAGCTAATTGAAAGAATGGTAAAGGAGACAATTCAAATATCTTGAGATAAATGACTTCATGTATTCTTCACTTATCCTTTACTATACAAAATTTTCTTTCAAAAAGCCACCTATCCCCCTAAACTTATATCAAGTTGAATTCTATGTACTCCAAATTTACTCCAAATCTTATTGGAATTGAACTCTTTCTCTTCTTCTTCTTCTTCTTCTTTTTTGCATTTCTTTTTCTCTTTTTTTTCTTTTTTTTTAGATAAGCAAAAATAAACTTGACTTGACTTAGGAGTACAAAACACCCTGCATCATTTACATTCCCATACCCAATTTTACAATCACATACCTCCTCTAACAACCATACCTACCAAGCCTCTCTAGCAAAAATAACATGTCAATTATCTCAACATTAGGGTAGTTCATGGCTTTTTCACGTTGCAAAGGCTAGGGTCAG